AAGAGGAGTTGGACCAGGAGGCAATTTGAAAGCTGAATTTTTATAGCCAGTTGAAAAATAGAGTACAGCTAGTAATACTGCTGCACACAGCAGACAAATTAATGCAGGATCAGAGATAAATGGAATTAAAAAAGACATTTTTTTTAGTAATAATCTGTTTTTGGGGGTTAGAAGCAATAAAAATGCAGTGGCACTGTTCAGTCTTTGCCAGCTGGCTTTCTGTTTGCTCTCTGCGATTGCTACAAGCACTCGATTCTTATTAAGGTTTGTAGAGTACCTAAATAAATACTGCATACTCCACCCTCTTTAAACACCTCAGAGAATGTGGTCTAAGCAGTTTGCAAAGCCTGTCCAGAAGTAAAGAGAGTTTCAAATTACAAACCCATGCATGTGTGTGCAAGAACATATACATGGGAAAAGGTGCTTGGCATTCCTCTATAACCTCCTCCTCCTCCTGAGACCTCAAGGTCCTTTATTAGCAGCACTATGACCCTCCAAATGCTCTGCTGACACAGGGAAATCATAAAGGGTTCTCTGAATCCTATTAGAAATCTCCAGATTTGGATAGGGTTTGAGATCTCTGTCTTACTAGAGATACAAATAGTATCATTATGGGAGACTTGAGCTTTCTTGATGTCAAGTGGAGATCAAAGGTTGTTAATAATGGTAAAGCCCATGTATCCCTGGGGGCTGTAACCCATAAACAACTTCATAACGTTAGCTCAGAACTGCTCAGAAGGGATGTGAGTTCAGACTTTGTGTCTGAAGTAGAGGACATGTAATAGCTAGCCATGGAAAATTAGCTTGGATCAAGCGATCATGAGTGGATTCATGAGTGGAATGGAGAGACAAAATTAGATTTGAAACTTCTGGGAGGATTCTTCATTTTGCAAGAGCAGCTTCTAAGAGAGAGAATAAATCAATGAAGCCAGCTGACCTGGCAGGCTTCAGAAGGGGAGCGAGACAGGAGAATGGGATTGTTTTGAGTCAAAGATATGAAACACCTGGAGCTTGTATCTCTCATAAAGGTTTAAATCCTGTATAGAAGGAATTGAGATCTACCTGGTCGAACAGTGGTTTTCAGGAGGATATTGGGAATAAATAGCCAAGGGAATAAGATTGTTTAGGGAAGAAAGAGCTGTCATATGATCAGGAAGCACAAGGCTAAAGGTGCATTTATCCAAAGGTTACCTCATATAAAGGCCATTATTCAGCAAATATGAGTCCTCAGCCTTGCAAACCTAAAAACTTAGAGAAGGAAGCAGACCTAGTGTGAAGGGTGGCCTCGCTATGGTTAGTGTGGTCCCAAAGCAAACTGCTGCTTGGTCACACACTGGAGCTGCCTGCGTGGTGTGGAGCTGTTACCGCACAACAGCCACCCACAAGCAGAAGCAACAAGTGTGTCGCAACATTTCTTGAGATGGGGTTTGTTTTTTTTTTTAAATTAAATTAGTTTCCAAGAAATGGGCTGGAGGCAACGGTTTCCCCCAGAGCATGCCTGGGATGACTCAACCCTGCCTGCTCAAGTGAGTGAAGAGGCAGAGGGGTTGTAAAGAAAGGTAAGAAGGACAAGGGCTGGCACAGGGTGCAGGACGCGGGCACTGTGATGAGAACTTGCGATGGCACATGCTCTGCACCCCGTGTGAATGTTGGTCCCTGCAGGGTTTTGTTTGACTGGCAGCACCCTGCAGAACTGCAGGGTTTTGCATGTTGCTACCGCTCTCCTGGAATTTCATCCTTGCCCTGGGAGCTGCTGAAATCATAAAAAGGCCTTTCAAAAAGACACTGAAATTATCTCTGAAAAGCCGAGAGTAGGGAGTGCATTGGTTTGGGTTTTTTTTCAAACCAGGCTCTGAGTGCAATGCATTAAAATGACAAAGGTAAGTAAAGCTCTTGCGATGACAAGAAATTCCTGTCTCAATAATGTGTCTGGTACGTGTTTCGCTTCGGAGCCGGGCTGCTACGTGCTCCCCTGCCTGAGCACACAGAGCCGAGCACAAAACACCTGCCAGGCGCTGACAGGGCTCTGGGTGCGTTCCTGGGGCAGCCGGGCCCCTCGGGGTGCTCGCAGCCAGGTTGTTCTCCATCCCTTGTGCCCACGTGGCGATCCCCTGCCACAGCGTGTGAACCAGGTGGTGCTGGTGAGGATGTGGAGTATGAGCATCAACCAGCCTAGGGAGAGGCAGCCAGTAAAGCACCAGCTCTGCATCCTTTAAATTAACTTAAATCTCCCCAAATCTCTGTGCCTTCCCTGCCAGTCTCGTTCTTGACCAGTGGTGCATCCCGAACTGCAGCCTCAGATAACTCCTGCTGGCTTTTACTGTGACAAGTTCCTTTTCAGCAAGGGCAGGAGCCACTGGAATCACTGTAAGAGGCCACATCAGAGAGCCAACCAGAGCCATGTCCTGTCTCAGACAGCAGTTGTGATTTTCTGGAGTTAGAAATTCAATTATTTCCTTTGAGCTGTTTGTGGCTATGGGTATTGCTCACCTCTGCATTGCTAAACATGTCCTGGCTGCATGTTGCCCAGGGGTCTCTGTGCTCACCTCTCTTGTGTGGGTGTATTAAAGGTGGTGCAGCCCAACTTTATAATTTTGACCCGAAATCAGTTTCATCCTGCAGCACCCGATAGATAAACAGCAACAGAGCAAAACATTCATTTATTAAGTACAAGATAATGTCAGGCTTGCAGTAGTAAGGCTGCAAATAGAGCAACAGCAAAACAAACATAAGCAAAGGTAGCAGCAAAGGTTTTCTTGTTGCACAGCTTGTTGAGCAAACTCCTTGAGATGTACCCAGAAGCTGGAGCTGGCCCCATGGCACAATGCATGTAGAAGGGCAATACCAGTGCAAGTACAAGGTACAGTACCACTATTAGAGTCCTGCCTTTAGTTACGTGCGCTAAATCTAGTGTGAAGAGTCAGTGTCCTGGCCAAAAAAAGACCACCCCAGTGTGTCATCCCTTCATATTCTCTTCATGCTTTCTTTCCTTCCATTTGCAGCACAGAGCTGTTTCTTCCTTTTTTCTTTTCATCCTAACCTGCCTTTCCTGCCTCCAGACCAACAAAGAGCATCTTCAGTGACTCTATTCCCTAACCCACATGTGGTTTCCTGCCTGTTTCATGGCACATGAAGAAGCCTCCTCTCTTGCACCTGCACCACCATTCAGATTTCACACACGTATTGCACTTCCCTCGGTGAGTGTAGCCCTGTGGGTACAGCTGGTTGTTCCTACTCCTAATGGCTGCTACATTAAATGAATCATTAATTGCAGTAATCAAATAGCTGCTCTGGGACAGCCACAGTCTCTGGCTATCACCAGCTTTCTACAGAGACCCTCATACAAGTTATTGGTACAGGTGAGTGACTTGGTAACAGGGCCTAATTTGCTTCTCCTTCCAGACTCTGTTACCAGTTTTACACCTATTTTCAGAGTGATTACATACAAAATCCTGTTAGCCATGACAGTGCTGGAGGATGTCTGCTGGCAGAATATTATCAGCTCTGAATTTCTCTACCTAAGTGGCCCAAGCACTTCTCCAAGCACCAAAATTTTGCTTGCAGTTCTTTCTGTGATGGCCCTGCTCCTGCTGTGTACTGAGCACAAACTTCCACGAGAGCCCGTGGCAGTGGTATTTGCTCAGCAGTTCAGGCTGATCTGTTACTCTGCCTGGAGACCTTGCTGCCTATCCTGACCCAAGGAGAGGAAGACAGCTTGACACACCAGGAGCTGTGTATCTGGTGTAGAGCTGCAGCCAGCCAGCAACATTTTCTAAAGAGTTTAAGCTCCATTTTCAGTCAAATGGAAAATATTGTCCCTATTCATCCCAGCACACCTGATACATGAGACTGAAGTCTGATTAGGAGCCTGTGGATGATGGTTGTCCCTGCAGAGTGAGCAGGTCAGACCTCATGGCAGTTGAAGCATCCACTGGAAGAGCCTCTCTCTCTCTCTCTGTGGAAGGCAGAGAGGATCTAGAGAGCAACGACAGCTCCTAAGGTGCAAGTGGAGAAGACG